GAAGAGTATGACGAGGATCATCAAGAGAAGGAGGAGGAGGTAGAGGAGAGAGGAGAGGAGGCGGATTAGGAGCAGGATCAGCAGGAGGCGGAGGAGGAGAGGTGGAGGAGCTGAGGGGGGTGGGGATGAGGAGGAGAGGGAGTGGGGGTGGGGGATGGAGGAGGAGGAGGAAGAGGAGGAGGAGGAAGGATGAGGAGGAGGAGGAGTAGGAGGAGGAGGAGGAGGAAGGAGCGGGGCGAGGGAGGAGGGGGGGGGGGGGGAGGAGGGGGGGGGGAGTAAGGTGGGAGGAGGAGAGAGGGAGAGGATGCGGAGGAGGAGGTGGTAGGGGAGGAGAGAAGGACGAGAAGGAGGAGCTGGAGGAAGAAGTTGGGCGAGGATGGTGAGGACGACGAGGAGGAGGAGGAGGAAGATCAGACGGATGAGGATCAGGACGAGGACGAGGAGGAGGAGGAGGAGGACGAGGAGGAGGAGGAGGATCAGGAGGAGGACCGTTCTCTCCCTCCCGCCTGGGCCCTGCCGCCCTCCCCCCCCCAGGGCAGGCCCTCCGCGCCGCCTCAGCACGACGGGCCTGCCTCTGCGGCGGCGCAGGCGGCTGGAGCAGGCGGCGGCCGTCGGCCGTCTCGCGCTCGCGCGCGCTCGCGCGCGCTCGCGCGCGACGCGGCGCAGCGGCGACGACGGAAGGGACGACGAGGACGGCGGCTGCGGCGGCGGCGTTGGCGGCGGCGGCGCTGCGCAGAGGAGGAGGACGGCGACGATTCTCCTTCCTCGCGGGGGCGGGGGAGGGGTACCACTGCCGTTGCCTCTTTTTCCTCTTTCTGGGCCGCCTGTGAGGACCCCTCCGCCAGGGCTGGATTCGCCTCGAGATCCTGGTTGGAAGACTCCCCTGGAGGGGCGGAGGTCTGGGGAGTTGCGGTATCGGTCTATCTCTGGATTTTCCCGTCCTCCTCCCTGCTAGCGGGCGACTCCTTCGTCCCTCTGGCCTGGCCCTGGGGCACCGTCACCACTGGGCCCGCCGCTCACGGTCCGCTTCGGTTCTGTCCATCAGTTCGTCCATGTCGATGCTTCCTGGCTTATTCCCAAACTCAACAATGTTCTCTACGTGCAAAACATTGCGACGCTTCAGCCGCGTAAATTGCCGAGTGCATGTCAGTCGATTAGTGGAACGTCGCGAACACCCCCTGCAGAGCGCCGCGCTGTCTCACTGCTTGGCAAGGGTGGTCTTTGTCGACTCTCCCCATTGGGCCGATCGCACCCGCAAGGTTGCGCCTCCTTTTGGGATACCTCTGGAGCGAAGCCGGACGGCGACCAGAAGCAGGAACTCCGAAGGTCCTTCGCCATTCTCGGTGTCCAGCAACGCTCCAGGCCCCAGGACCTTCAATGAACGATCCGGCCTGGAACGCCTGTCCCTGGAGAGCGTCGAGATGTCTAGGGGCCGTCGCTTCGGAAGGGCCGAGTCGTCGGACGCCTATGTAACAGCACGGAGAAGAGGATCACGTCTTTCTCTTCCTGCTGCCGCTCGGTCCATAGCAGGCTGACGCGCCGCAATAGTTCAGCTGCCAGCTGCCGCTCGGCCAGTTTTCAGAAGGGCAAGTGTTGGGGTGGGAGGATGGGGCTGGGAGACCTGATCATCTCCGGGCTGCAGGTGGTCCTTACGCAGTCACGCACGCTGCGATTTTGGATCGCGTCCTCCAAACCCCACGGCGATTGAACTGCCTGCCGATGGTGCCGGCATTTCCCCCGGAGCTGAATCGTGCTCGTCAGTTCCAGCTCGCCGAGGACGACGCCCCGCAGTCCGAGAGGCAACGCGTGCTGCACCGCGGGTGCCGACGCCTCCTGCAGGAGTCGAGGCGCAGGCCGCGGGGAGCGGAGGCGGGCCAGTGCAGCCGTGATCCCGCATCAGGAAGGGAGCGCGATGCCGAATGCCTAACCTCCTCCTCCTCCTCCTCCTCCTCCTCCTCCTCCTCCTCCTAAGGACTTCCGCATCAGCAACGGAGCGAGATGCAGATCCTGCCGCGGCCCCGCAACCTCCCAAAGCATGTATGGGCACGGGGGCAAGAGCCAACAGTGCATTCACTCTCTGCCACGAGTCGCAGGACGGAAGCCGATGCGGAAGTAAGTGCTCACTGGGCATATGCAGGACCCCCCCCCCCCAGCATTGTTCGCGCCCTTGGTCCATCCCCGGTGGCCGTCGCGTCGACTCAACACATGGTATGGCCAAAGATGGCTCAGAGAGAACCATGGACACAGACAAGAGGGACCTTGGGCGCCCCCCCCCGAAGGTGTCGACAGGAAAAGGGCCCCGAAAGGCCACGAAGCAGGTTGCTGGGTGCAATGTGCTGCTTGGGAAGTTCCTAGGGAACCAGCATGGCCTCAAGAGGGCCACGAAGTAGTCTGCAGGTCTGCCGATGTTTAAGGAACTTGCGCGGTGTTGGATTGGCGGCGCATGCGCTGCGGCGGCAGCACGCCTTCTTAGAATTTTCGCCAGACGCAGGCGGCCGAAGGCGTCGTTCGTTGCACCCGAATGCTGTTGCGCAGGCCCTGCATCCTCCCAGCCCCTTCCTCCCAACATGATAAAAGTGTCTTTCTCAAACGTCCTCTGCTTCCATTATGGAGGAACGGCGGTTGAGAGCACATCTCCTCTATTCGCTGTCGGCTTCCTGGCGAACGCGGTCCGTCCAGTGGCGACGTCACTGTGCCCAGCCGCAGTCGCTGTCCGCTTCTGACAGCAGGTGCTGTGGGGCATCGTCCTCGCTCGTGCGGTCTTCGTGACGGGCGCGCCGTGGTTTGGAGGAGGCAGAGCAGGATTCCAGAGCACATTTCGGCTCTTGCCGCAATCGTGCTGCACACGCACCTTTCATATCGCGGCCTGGCCAAGGGATGGTAATGCTGGCCGCCCGCGCCGCCCTGGCGGCGGCAGCTACGAGGGCAGCACATGCACTGCACACCACCGTCCACGGCGATGCGCACCGCAGCGAGCCCCAGCATGACTCCATGCCAGCTGGCCGCGGCCTTTCGGCACGCGCCCAGGACTCGACGAGCGCGGTCCACTACTCGCATAGTAACTACTCGCACATGGCCTGGATCCCCCGCCGGGGATCTACGATCCATGGTATCAAAGGAGACTGTGCTTTTTTATGGACGTTTGCGAGCAGGCACTTTGCGAGTGGTGGAACGCGGTCGGCGAAGGACGGCTGGCTGGTCAGCAGCGACGCTGACACTCCGGCTGATGTCCAGGCTGAGCTAGAGAAGCGCATGAAGCAGCTGGAGCAGGACACAGAGTCTGCTGCGGTCGACGCGCACAAGCTCGGCGACCACAAGCGCCGTCAGACGGAGCAGAGCCTGTGGATAAGCGGCAAGTCGCGGCAGGCAATGACGAACTACAACGACGTCCAGTACGTCTCCTTCCTGGAGGTGGGGCAGCAGACCCTCTCGGGCATCCTGGACACGGGGTCCTTCGAGCTGGTCGTCTTCTCCACGTCCTGCGGCACGTGCGGCCAGGCGGCCGGGTACAACCCCGACCTGAGCGCGAACTACACCCGAGGTTCGGATGCAACTCCTGGGAGGTCAAACTCTGAGTTTGTCCTGGTCCGAAATCCGGCTTGATCCAGCTTAATTCCGCTAAATCCGGCTTGATCCCGCTTGATCCAGCTTAATCCTGATTAGTCCGAGGCCCACTCCGGCGCAACAGCTCCCAAATGGGGCTTAATCCTCCTCAGTCGTTCCGACGAAAACCTCTCAGTAGTTGCCTCCTAACCGAGGGCAGCTCGCCACCGTCCTGTCCTACGGCAGCGGCGACACCTTCGTCCAGGAAGCCTGGGACACGGTCTCCATCGGGCCGTACCCGCCCAGGCGCCAGTCCTTCTGGGAGGTCACCAGCGCCAAGATGCAGGCGCTGTGTTACGTCGGGCCTGTCCCTCTACAGGGGGACTCTTCCAGAGCAGTGAAAACACAGCCTGGGGACAATTTTTTGACTATTTATGAGCATTTTGGGGGTGTTTTGGGGGGTATTTTGAATTGTTCGCCCAGTCCCCCTGTAGGGGGACAGGCCCGACCTAAGCGTTGCGGCACCCTTCCTCGCGCCTGCGCCTGCACTGGCTGATGCTCATCATGCTGCCCCTGACACCCCGAGGGGGCCCTGGAAAAGACAGGGCCGTGTTTGTTACCCGTTCCGTTTTGCGGAGGTGTTGGGCTTTCCGTTGCCTTTTTTGTTCAGGTTCCGCGGTTTCTTTTCTAGTTCCGGTTCCGGTTCCACTCCCGGAGCCGTTTTTGTTGCCGTTTCCGGTCGCCGTTTTTTTTACCGCTTCCATTTTCGGGAGACATTTCTTCGAAAACGGTGAAAAACAGCCCCGCGGCTTCCGAGGCCCACTAGGACCCCGAGTCGCCCCTTCCCGTCCTCCTGTTCCCCACTATCCTCTGTTCCCTCTTCGGTGCTGCAGTACTCGGCGTTCCAGTCCATCATCGGGATCGGCCCGCCAGAGACGCCCGTCCTGGACGCAGACGAGCTCCTGCAGGCGGCCCTCGAGACCAAGATCTCCTGCTCCCGTGCCTTCAGTGCTCCGCCTGCCCTCCTCCTCCTCCTCCTCCTCCTCCTTCTCCTCCTCCTCCTCCTCCTCCTCCTCCTCCTCCTCCTCCTCCTCCTCC